CTTGGAAATCGCAAGTTCTAAAAATTTATTGTTATTTGAGTGCAAACACAGTTATCTTGTCTCTTTCATTAAAAAAAAAAAAAAAATCAATTGTAGTGTCTCCCCATGAGATGAGACGTATGTTGAATTAGTTGGGCCAAAAAACCAGGAATATCCATGTATTCTTTAAAAAAAAAAAAATAAATAAATAATCTAACTCATGAGTCTCGGAAACCTAATCCGTTTGGAAGCGTGGCCCAGTAACTCCTCAATTTAAGGCCCAACAAATTTAGAGATGGGTCTGTCTAATATCTGAAACGCCTGTTGGGCCATCTAAATGATCTCTTCCCATGTGTTTCCTATTTGTGATTTTGGTTTTCTTCCCCTGCTTTCTTCCTCTCAAACTCCCAGGTCCAAGCACAGTTCCTCTTCACTGCATTTTTCAACTGCTCCTACCTAGAGTGCTTCAGTGCCGGCGAGAGAGGAAGAAGTTCGTTCGTGGCGTTTTCCGTCCGTGCCGCATTTGGGTTCGATGACACTGAATAGGGTGACTACTGGGTGCCGCAGAAGGACATGAGATGAGAGGGCTTTCTTCGGTACCCGCAAGGGCTAAAAATAAGTTCAAAGAATCATCCAATCTCGGAAAATTCAGCGGTGGAATCCACCCACCAGCGCCCAACCCCAAAAGGGCTCTCAATCAAAATCACACGACTTTGAGAGGTAATTCTCAATCACCCAGCTCCAGTGTCAATAAACCTAACTCGAATGCACTCTCTAATGCTTCCATTTCCGCTAATGAAAGTATTAAGCCAGTTGATCATCGTTATTTCTCTCAAATTCTCTCAAGAGATGACTGGTCTTTGCTGCTAAACCATGAGTTGAAAGCCCAGAGGATAGTTTTGAATTCTCAGTTTGTGGTGAGTTTATTGCAGAATCAAGAAAACCCGTTGCACCCTTTGTGATTTTGTATCTGGGTCTCAAATGTTGATCATTCTTTTGCCAAGAGTCAACCCGTACGTAGTGCTTTAACCGGTGTCCTTTGTAGGAAAGGTCCTGTTTTGTTGTCTGGTGAATTGGTTGAAAATATTAGGAACTCGGGTTTTCGAGTCACTGAAGACTTGCTGTGTATTTTGTTTGGTAGCTGGGGAAGATTAGGATTGGCTAAATACTGTCCTGAGACATTTGGGCAGATTTCATTTTTGGATATCAGTCCTAGCACAAGATTGTATAATGCTGTGATTGATGCTTTGGTGAAATCCAATTCAAAGTTCGAAGAGCAGCCGCTCGCAGAAGCAGAACCTTTGTGCATTTTTTTTTTTGGAATTTTCTCTTATATGCCTAGATTAAGAGTATATATATTGTATTTTTTTATAATTAATTTATATAAAAATATTAAAAAAAATAATTTAAATGTTATTAATTATCTAATTAAATTATTCTACATTACATTAATGTTGTCTTTGTTTCAAATGTGGAGAATAGGTATTAGTTACTGAGTTTAATAGGACGGTTTAAATATTTTGAATTATAAATCATAATAATTATCAACTACTAAATATTAATTATTAGTCATCAGCTATATCAGAACAAATAATCCAAACAACCGAGAAAAT